AAAAAAAAAAAAAAAAAAAAAAAAAAAAAAAAAAAAAAAAAAAGAAATGAAAACAAGAAACGAACGGAACCAACCTGCGCTCCACGTGGCGCTGCGCCTGCACGAGATGAGGGCAACTGGTTAGGTTACCAAACCTAACCCTAGCTCTACACCATAGCCAGCCCGAGCTCCGCAGAAAGGGGGCCGGAGGGGGCAGACGCCCTGGCTTAATCTGGCTACTACCACCTTCCCCCGAGCACAGCGCGCCCTCATTCTGATTATGTATGATATCTGATCGCAAAGCTAGCTCAAGTGCACATTCCTGATGAGGATTCAGACTATGTTCAGCGTAAAAAGACCGCAGGTGCGCTATCAGCCTTGGATTGGCGTGAAGGATCCGTGGCCGAGCCCTCAACAGCAAACGCGGCCTATTCTCAGACGATGGACTACGGATCTGCACTTCGTCTACAGACGGATGAAGAGACCATTGACGATTCAGCACATTATGGCTTTGCACTTGCACGGTCCATCTCTTCGCTTCCTGAAGACAAGGGGAGAGAGAACCCACTCTCATCAGAGGTAGGTGGCTCCCGGATCCAGTGCGATTTGCCCTGGCCAAATGAACTGTGTTCCACACCGGATTACTTACTGCAGTGGGAAAAGGATTTTACCACCGCAGTAAGTAAGCCGGTGGTGGGAAAAGGATCTTACCACTGCAGTAAGAAAGCCGGTGGTGGGAAAATGATGTTCCCACTGCAGGTAGACGTCAAATATCGAGCTTGAAAAAGTTTCGCGCGACCCTTTCAGTTCTTGGTCTCCCATCTGGAAACTGAAAGGGGGTGGAAGGCACGCTCTCCGGATTGAGAGCAACTTGGAGAGTCAGGCGGAGGTCCATCGGAAAAAACACAGCTGTGGCTGGGCACTCTCTCCACCATCAGGAGAGACTCTGAGTGCTTTTCACAGGGAGAAGGTACTATAAAGCCTCCCCGCGACCAAAGCTTTGTATTGACACGAAAAGTCATTTGGGGTGCTGCGGCACTTTTTGCCCAGATTGGGGGGGAAATGAATACAAAGGTTTCGTCGTGGGGAGGTTTTATAACTTTTCCCCCTTTTCAAAGGTGATTTCCGCCAGCTACCGGAAGGTTTTTCAGGCCTTCAGGAGTGAAATCCGGTAGTTACTGCAGCGATTAAAAAAAACGCTCCCAATTCAGAGAGAGGGGAGTAGTGCAGCGAGACCCATGGTCTCACTATGGTGTGGACTTATGCTGCTGCTGGCATAACGAACTCTCATTGTGGCTTGGTAATTAGGCATTGTGAATTGGATGATTAAATCATGATTTCATACTGAGAAATGGAAAGCGTTGCTTCTACACTCGCTCCACTAATCGTCAAATATATAAAATGCACGGAAAAAAGGATGAATCTTCACCTAGGACATGGGAAGATACACGGGATAATTGGTAGAAAGAGCCCACGCCAAAACCTTTTCGGTTTTGGCCGCCCAAAGTTCGGCCGTTTGGTACTACCGGCCCAAACATCTTTCCCCTGGGTGAAAGGCGCCTTCGCGCCGTGGCCACATCTCCGTGGGCCTAATTTTACCCGTTCAAGAATTTGGCCCGGAAACCGGAAACCGGGCCAAATTCATGAACCGGTAGGGCCCTTCTTTTTCAAAATCGCGTACGTGGGCTTCACCGCCGGCCTCTTTTACATCAAAATGAATCTGGGGCTGTTATGCGCCAGATTGATGATCCGGTAGGGCCCTTGGTGTGACACGTGGGCCTGTAGTACCCCACATGCAAGTCATTGGGCCTGTAGTACCAAACGGCTAAACTTTGGGCGGCCAAAACCGAAAAGGTTTTGCCGTGGGCGCCTTCTACCGATTATCCCAAGATACAGGGCCATATTTTTCACCTCTTGTGGAAGTGCCGGGTTTTGGAGAGAGGCCCCATGCCACTAATAATTCTAACTTCGTTGATGATGGGCCTGGCCGCCGCCACTGAGTAATTACATTTGAAACTGCGTTTTAGCAATTTAGTCAGGGCCTGAGTTGCAGTTCAGTCAGGGCCCTCGTCTATCCACGAACACAAGATTAAAATATAAAAAAATAAAAAACATCCCTTATGCTGTGATTGCGGTCCTATACAGGATGCTACAGTGTTTGTCTGGAACTGAATGAAGCGAGGCAGTTAGCTGCCTCGGGTGGAATCTGCCCAGCCTGGCTGGCAGGGCGCTACAAGGACCTCACAACAAGAAACAAAAAAGGAAAACGACCTGTTTCATGTTCCTCACTTCCTGGCCAGATACATTCCTCAAAGCACTGGTGACGTGAGGGCCTTCCCGACGTAGGTGGATTCGAAGTTCCTCTTTTCTTTCCTTTCTTATTTCTTCTTTTTCTTTTTTCTTTTTTTGGCCTCCATCCCCAGCCCCCAACTTCTTCGGAGTAGGCTACTCTTGAGACTTCGCGTTCTCCTGTGAAGGGTAGTGCCTGCGAATCTCGGCTGTGGCCTAGACATCTTGGCCGTGGCCAATCTGGGGTGTGGCCGAGACA